GACCCCAACAGGCTGGACCCAGGAAAAGGCTCAGGTGCAGGCTGCTATATCAGTGCCCATGAGCTATTGTGGGGCCTTTTGTTCACTGCTCCCCACCCCTACAAAGCCACCCACCTCCCTGTTTTAGACCTTAAGTCTCAGAGTCCAAGGCTTACAGGGCTTCAACCCAAACATCACACACCCTCCAGCAACCCCTGGAGATGCCTGACGCCCTCCTCAGCCAGCCCTCCCACCTGAAGCCCACACATGGACGTCACCTTGGTTCTGCTCATCTTAGAAAGTTGTAATGAATAGAAATCAGCAACTGCTGAATGACAGTCCCTCCTGACTCTGCCTCCTCCAGCTCTTTGCTCTGTTGGGAGGGAGCTTTAGCAGTTAGACCCTTGTGCCCACACCCCCATCACGGAAGAAAAGCAAAGCCTGACTCACTGGAATCCCATGGTTGCCAGTCCCTAGTGGGTGGTGACATTTTAGATCACCCTGGTTATGTGAAACTGTTTCAGCAGGTACCCTCCCAGGGCAAACTTGCTGCTTCCCAGGGAATGTGACCCCAGAGGGCAGCCCCCCGGGGCACAGGCATTTGTTTTCTAGCTGCATGAACTAACACACACCTGTGGCTTGCTTGTGGACCTCCTGTGTGGCAGAGCAGCCAAAGAAATATGCTGACCAGTTATATTTTATGGACAGGAGCTAGAGGAAGGGAATATTACCGATAGCTATTTAGCTCTTGGTAGCGTAGTGGTTACGAACCGAGCTGCTAATTTCATGGTCAGCAGTTCGAAAATACCAGCTGTTCCAAAGGAGAAAGATGAGGCTTTCTGCTCCCGTAAAGATTTACAACCTCGGAAACCCTGTACAGGGTCGCTATGAGTCGGAACTGACTCCACAGCACATAACAACAACAACAAATTTAGAGACGGATGATGGGATGAATTAAAGACATAGAATGGGGTGAAGAGTTAGAATGGGACTTGAACCCAGACCAGGCTTATGACCAACCCAGATTCCTCAGGCCTGGAGCTTCTCTGACATCAAGCCCTTGATCTCAGTATTGCTCTGTCACTTCTCCCTGGTAGCAGATGCTTGCACAGTGCTTTGGCAAGAGCAGAAAGCATCTCAGTTGCACTAAGTCCCCAGGGAGAAAAGACAGGAGTCATAATGTGTCTTTCCTCTCAGCCTTTCTCTTAGCATTCCCGCCCTGCAGGGCTCCTCCCAGACAAAAAGTCAGTTGAAGGACATTAGAGGGAAGTTTGGAAAGCAGAAAGGACCAGGCCCTTCTGAGCACTCTGCCCCTACCTGAAGAGGGAGATGTCGGCCTAGCCAGGCCATTCCACACTGACTGACAGATTTAAGACTCTGATGCCTTGAGCCCACCATAACTCTTGACCACAACCAGCAAGAACAAAAATACATAAAGCCTGTTTCTTCTACCAGCCACTGTCACTGTTCCTCTTGCCCACCAGGAAAACAGGAGTAGTGCTGAAACCCTACACACCACCATCTCCGATGATTGGATTCACTGTTGGCAGAGCGGACACCAAGCCAGGCCCCAGCCTGCCAATGTGGAGCTAGGGAGAAGGAACTGGGGAGGGAGGACCTAGTTGGCACTGAATACTTACTGACTTTGGACTGGATAAACTGTCAAGGGTGAGGGCAAGGTACAGAGTGTCTACTTAACTTCCATCAGGTGAGGGGAACCAGTGAGAATTCAGAAGGCAAACAACACAAGGCACAAATGCAGAATCCACAGCAAAGGCAAGGGAAGGGGGGCTGCCACCCCAGGCTCTTCCAGCAGGAATTAGCTTACGTACCAAATTGTTTGTGACAGCTTTGAGCAAGAGACACTGGCTTGTGGGGAGGAACGCTTTTTAAACAATTTGTTTAAAATGTTCCAATTGCCAGCTCTTGACTCTTGCACTTGGGGCTGGTGGGTAGCTGTTGGCACTCTGGCGGCTGTGGGCAACAGTTGTTGTTGTGAAGTGCCATCAAGTCAATTCCGACCCATAGCGACCGTGTGTAGGGTTTCCAAGGAGCAGCTGGTGAGCTTGAACCATCGACCTTGCAGTTCAGACCTTGCAGTCTGACGCATTAGCCCACAGCGCCACACCAGGACTCCGTGGGCAACAGTAGCGTGCGGAGTACCACCTCCCAGACTCCACCTTCTCAGCCACCTCTACCACTGTTCTTAGGGTCTCAGTGGAACAGGGCTGAAATGTATCTAGGTGTTTGCCTAACAGGCACATGACTGTGGCCTGGGGCCTCAGTCCCCACGCAGATGGGAAGGAAATACAGGGCCTCCAAAAACTGGTTCACACAGAGCTGACCCTGCCCCTCTTCCTCTAGCAGCTGCCTCATCTGCATCCAGATCCCAGCCCTGGCCTCACCAGCACCACCCCCCACCCCCACCCCTTACAAAATAACATGTCCTTCCATGAAGCCAGCCTGTTCTCTTGCCTAACATGAGACCTGTAGCATTAGTCACTCGGAAATTCTATCTAAAAAGTGAAAACAAAGCCAGGCTCCCACTTATTTTTAATTCAAACAAGCCCCAAACTAAAACCACCATGTGTTTTTCTATGTGGCCACAGTCCTCATTGGACTTTATCATTTTGTTCCTGAGATACCCCAGAATTCTTAAAATGCCTTTGGCCCATTAAAGTAAGACTCATTTATGCTCAGTCTAGTTTGTATTAAATATGTTTTGAGCTATTCTGATTCCTTTAAAAATGGTAATTCATTCATGAGAAATACGATAACTATTAACCAGACTGCCCCATTCCTGAACCATTTTGCATAATTGAACATGTATTCTATCAGGCTCTTCCTTCTCCCCAGGGAGAGAGAGAGAGAAGTCTGTCTTCACACAACTCCTGGGCACTTGTCCAGGACAGCAGGGAGAATCCACATTTGCTCTTGTTTTCTCCTTGGGTCACCTAATCTAGAACATGGTGGAGGTCTGAGTCCCAGGTTCAAGTTTACTTACTGGCTGTGACTTGGGGCAAGATTATCTCCCAGGAATACTGTAAAGCATAGAGCACTTAGATAGAATGCCTGCGACAGTGAGCGTGCACATACACACATTTGCGTGGTCAGAGATCCTTGATGGCCACATCTTTCTTGTGCTTTCCCTTTCCACTTGGAAAAACTAAGAATGTGACTCTTCCTTGCAAAACCCTGTTTCTTCGTCTTTTGGCTTAGAGATAGAGGAATTCTTGAAAGGATGATTAAAAACAAAAGACTTTCTTAGGATTCTTACCTGGAATGGTAAGTCCTAGGCATCAGAGGAGTCTCAGAATTTCTACTTTCCTAAGTGGACGCTCCCTGATCTGGAAGCAGCACTGTGTTCCTTGGAACACTGGGTAGGGTTGCCGCTCCAGGGACCCAGCTCATGTGCAAGTCACACTGTGTTGTATTTTCCCCACTAAAGTTAAAATAATACCCACCAATTCCCCTCCACACACACATACAAACACACACCCCAGAAAAAAACACACCCATTACCATTGAGTAGATTCTAATTCATAGCCACCCTGTAGACAAAGGTAGTGATGTTAAGTGCCTTCAAGTCAGTGCTGACTCATAGCGACTCTGCATAGGCTTTCCAAGGAGTGGCTGGTGAGTTTGAACCACCAACCTTGCGGTCCAGTGCTTTATCCTACAGTGCCAAGTGCTTAACCAGTGTGCCACCAGAGATCCTTATTGAAATAAAAGCACACTTAAATTGGCTGAGGTAGGAGGGACAAGGGAAGATGGCTCCAAGGCTTTAAGAAGGAAATAAAAGGTAATTGAAGCTGGAAAATAATGGTCCATTCTTGTTTGATGCTATGATCTTACTCCATTGAGGGGGGACAACTCTTCTCATCTTGGGAAAAGTATAATCAAGGCTTTGAGTCAGTGGCCCAGTGAAGCACTCTGGGGTTTGTTTGTTGGTTTTTTGAAATATGACATTTTATTTTAATATAACTTGTATAATCTATTATACATTATATTGTTGTTGTTGTTAAGTGCCGTCAAGTCGGGTCCGACCCAGAGCGACCCTGTACAGGGTAGTTTTAGGTAAATCTCATTTCAAAAATTTATATATACTTCTCCTTAAATTGATACTTCTTTGAGGTAAGAGATACATTTTTTTCTGGCCTTTCTCCCCTGAAGTATCAATTAGAATGACAGGTAGATAGATATTAGGCACTCAGTGAGTTTGGGTTTTGTACCAAGAAAGACTTTGGTGCAGAGAGCTAGGGGCTCATTCCTCCATGACCTTATTCTTCTCTCCCTACAGCCCTACCAGCTACTGGAAGCCCCTTGCTCCTGACCGGTCAGATGATGAGCACGACCCTCTCAACAGCACCTCCAGACCCCAATACTCCCACAGCTACCTGAGCGACAGTGACACAGAGGCCAGGCCAACTGAGACCAACGCATAGCCCAGAGGAGTGGTCCACAGCCCCTCCTGCCCCAAGGCCTACTGCTGCCAGGATACCTCTCCCAGGAAAGGGAGAGATGCAGGACTCCTCACCTGACTGCTGAGCTGCATGGGCAACACCCAGGCCTCCCCTGTCAGGAGGGCTTTCCTGACTCTAGGTGTCTGACATCTCCACATGGATGAGGTGGGAGAAAGAGGAGTTTCTGAAAAGAGAACTGTATGCTCCTCCCTGCCTCCGAAATGTCACACTCTTGGCTTCTACCCTAGGCCACCCTGGGCAATGACAGGTGGCTTGGCGCTGCATGGAGCCAGCAAGTTGACCCTCATCTCAGCCCCCTGCTCAGGGATGGGTGCACAGATTGCCTACTGGGATGTTCTAGGTTGCTGGGTCCATGGGGGAGGAGCTAGGGGGAGGGCACAGCAATCCCGTTATGTCCCGCACCCGGGTTGGGGTGAGGGCTTTCTCTTCTCAGTGCCTGCTGTCTTTTTACTTTTTAATTTAAATAACGAAACCTCTCCATCACAGCTGCATCCCTGAGAGTGGGAGGGGACTGGGTGGCAGCTGGTGCCCCCGGGAATGACTAGGGGAATCTCATTTCCATCTCTACTCTACAGAAAGCAGTCCTTTCTGTGTGCAGCTGAAGATACTGGTGAGCAGAGTTGGGCCCAGGTTCTTGAATCAGTATGGGGAGGGACTCATAGGTGCTTCTGCATTTGGGGATGAGCAAACCTACACAGACTGGTGCATATATACCATCTGGAACTCCCAGCCCCTCCACCCGCTCTGTCTCATCAGTGTATTAAGTGCAATGACCTATTTAAGATAAATTCCACTGACGCAAATTCGGGGTTTTTCCAAATACTGCCTCCCTCCCCCTCTGTCTAAGCTGCCTGGACCCTGGACCGTAGCTCAACTTGAGAGGGAAGGCTTTGGGTTGAAGGCTTGTGATTAGAAAAACTGAAGACAGAAGTTGTGGTCAGTGCTGGTGTGTATTAGACAGTAAATCCTCACTCTGTGTCCTGAGCCTGTCATTTATCTTCTTGCAGTCCCCCGTGTCCCCCCTCCCTCTCTCTCTCTCTCACACACACACACACACACACACACACACACACATCATGTGTTCTGAAGATCCCAGCTCCTACCCCAAAAGGTTATCCCGCCACCACCACCAGATTGGGGGGCCCAAGGGCAGTGCCTGGTGCTGCTCCCATCTGCTGTCCCCCTTTTCTCCTGCAATTGGTTTGTACTCACTGGGCTGTGCTCTCTCTTTCCCGATTACCTGATGTTTGGAAATAAATGTCCTTTCCTCCCGGTTGTGCTAATTTTCCTGCCTGCTCCTTCAAGCTAAGGCAAAGACCAGAGTGCTCATGGGGGGAGCAGAGGAAGGATTCTAATGGGGACCAGTGCCACTCCGAGTCTTAACCAGGAAGGCAGGTCACTGGGGGACTGTGGCAGAGGTCGTGAAGTGAGCTAATTGGTGGAGGGAAGGCACAAGCCCCAGCTTTTCATTTAAGTGTCTGTAGCTTATAATTTGGGTTGGCAGAGCTGTCCAGGCCTCATCCTCCCCAGCCTCCATGCTGGACTTTATCCAGATTAGATGTGAGAATGTTGAGGTTCCGCTGATTGTTAAAGCTCACCAACTACAGAGGTTCTCTCTTTAACTTTTTGTTTATGGCTCCAAGCTCTTCTCATTAGAAAGTTTTTTTAAAAGTCTAATTTTAATCATTCTAAAGATGACTTTGTAATCACACTTTTGCAGGCCTGTGTCCAGCCCTCTGGCCCCTTGGACACACAACACCTTGTACAGGCTGGGAATGCTTTCCTCTGTCTCTGCCATCATGCTCCAGTTGTGGTCAGTGTATTAGACAGTAAATCCTGTTCTGTATTCTGTTCCCTCACTGGTAGCTAAGAGCTCCTCCTCTACATTTTGCAATGTAACCAGTTATCATCCATGCATGCGTAACATGTTCACTTTGCAGCTAGAAGAACAGGCTCCCCAGTTTGGACAAGTAAGTAGTCAGGAAAGGGGCATCCACACAGCTCTAGTGCCAAGGCTTCAGTGATGTCGGTCACCCAGAAAGATTCAATAAAGGGAAGGAGAAAAATTATCCCAAAAACACCTGGGAGAGAAGTGATTGATCCATCTTGAACAAAGGACATTGCACTAGCTTCTCTCCCTGCCCCAGGAAATTGAGTAGAGAAAGTAATAAAAGTGAAGTTACTTTTTTAAAAACTGCTGGCTCCTCATGTTTGGTTCTATCACTCTCATCTTTTATAGTTTGGTGCATATTCTGTTTCTCCCAGGAACTAGTGTGACAAACTCCTTGCTCCCTATAGAATAGACTCAGACCTCTGGCAAATTGGAAAGCCCAACGTCAACCTCCCATTGCCAGGCCTGGAGCACATAACTGTTCAAGTCAGAAGACTTGTATTATTCACTTACTCATTTGCTCAGCAGTCAAGAAATATTTCATAATTGCCTGCTGTGGGCTAGGCTCCTTTATAGAGCTGGAGGTGGATAAGGTCCCTTCCTTCACAAAGGGGGCATTTTAGCAGAGGACTTAATGAACAAAATATGTACCGCACCTAATATTTTAGGCAAGGCATTTAGGTGGTGGTGGTAAGTGCCACTGAGTCAGTCAGTTCCGACTCATAACAACACTATTTGTATAGGGTTTCTGAGGAATAACTACTGATCTTGTGGTTAGCAGACCAGTGCTTTTCCTACAGTGCTACACTAGGACTCCACTTTGGGTGGTGGTGGTTGTTAAGTGCAATCAAGTTGGTTCTGACTCATACTGACCCTGTATAGGGTTTCTGAGGAGCAGCTAGGGGTTTGAACCTCTGACCTTGTGGTTCATAGTCCAGTATTTATCCTATAGCACCACACCAGGAGTCCAGAAAGAAAGTTTGTCCTCCAAATGGCTCATGATCTAGGGTTGAAGCAGGACCACATGGAAATAATGACACAAGATGTAACAGTAGGACAAATTGGTGCGAGCATATTATTGTGGGGGATATTCTCCATGGTGAGAATGGGGAAGACTTTTTAAAGGAACTGGTATTTTGAGCTAGGATTTGAAAAAAGGATAGACTTCCACAGATATTATTGGAACAGACATGCTGAAAAGAAGACCTTAAGCAAAGGCCCTGAGGCAGAGAAAGATAGATGGTGGTCGGGAACTCCACGGGCTTGTATAGACAACCTTGAAGATACTGCCTCACTTGGGTATGACCTCCTCAAGCTACAGGAAAGCCCCTGAGCCCAGGTGCTGGGCTCCAGACTGGGAAGGAGAGGATTCCCTTAGCACTACTTCCCTAGGGGAGTCTAGGGACCTGCAGGGCCACCCTGGCCCATCTTCATCTTGGATGTGCCTTCAGAGGTCTGTAAGCTTCTGCCCTCAAATGTACAGTCAACGGTAGCTCTGGCCCCTAAGATCTATGATTCTCAATCAGTAGGACGCAAACCTGTCCCTACACCAGGCTCAAAGCCACTTAACTAAATCCTAATGTCTAATCTCAGACCTTCAGAATTGCTCTGACTCCTACAGGAGAGATGTGGGTGGGGATCAAAACCCAGTGGGACTCCCCATGGTGGCTAGCCTCAGTCCATATTCGACCCCCAAACTGCCTCCTTTTGTCCTTGTGTCCCCTTGGTAGATTACCCCAATTGTCCTTCCTCCCATCCCCCGCCCCTGTGCACAGACACTTAGCGATTTGCTCCTTAATTGTCCCCCAGCTAGGCTGCGCAGATGCCGCTCTTTAATCTCTCCTGATAAATGAATCGCGCCGCTCCTTTAATCATATGTTCATATCCAAGCCAATTTGAATCAATTTGGCAGGGAGCGTGTTGCAAGAGATGCCACGACTGCTGCTTCTCCCCCCAGGGCACCAGAGCCAGAAGGACTGCTGTTCTCACCCTCAGCAAAGATCCCAGGAGGCCCATCCAGGACAAGACTCTACCTGAATGGTGGGACTCTGCAAAGTCATCTCACTCATCCCTGTCCTCCCAGTCGGCCCTTGTGAGGCTGGAAGGAGATAGATTCCCAAAACTCTCATAAGTGGGAGTGAAGGGGGTGAATCCATAGCCCTCCTTGGTCATTTAATAAAGGGCCCCATTTTCATCCCTGGGAGAAACTGAAACACTTAGCTCTAACCCTAATCCTTTTTGCTCTATTTTCATTTTCTCTGAGCTGGTTCTCAGGGAAGCTGGGACACTTGATCATTTTTTTATATAGCAAAAATTCCAGACCAGGCTATGATCATTTGTCCTTGGCTGTTACGCTACTGACTGCCACCTCAACTCCTTTCATCTTTCCCTAGGAAGTAGTATTTTTGCAAGCTTCGTGGGCAGTCCAGGACATTCTTGGTAATACAGCACGGTCTTCTGACTTTGGGGCAGCTGCCTTTTCACCTCCAGAGTGGGCAACCCCAAGGTCCAAGAGCAGTAATGAAAACAAATGAATCAAACTTGCTAAACTGAGGGCGATCTTTGTCTCTAACTAACACTGCAACTTGGACAACAGGCCTCAGTTTCCTCCATCTGCAAAACAAGGTGGTATTCCTAGTAAGAATCTTTCAACTTCTAAATTTGGAAGCTCCTCTGCCGCCCAGGGTCAATAAAACACCTCACCCTCACCTCCCGTCGCCCTCGGTGACAAGCTGGAGGGACCAACAGGCGGCGCTAGAGAGGCCAGGAGAGTGTGTGGTCTGTCTGGCATTGGTTTCGAGCCGCCCCATTGCTTCCCAAAGCCTCCAACTTCCTCGCCTAACTTGCTCCCTCTCCCGGCTCAGCTGCTCAGTCTTGGCAGGAGTTCTCCCATTCACCAAGAACTGAAGGTCGTTAGCATATTCATGTCTCTTTAGCTGGACCTCCGTCCAAACAGAGCTGGTTTTTGGCTCCGCCCTCTACTGGTGGTTCTTCCCGCTCTTCCTGGAAGCCAGGCCCCTTAAAACGGCAAGGATAGTGGGCACCTTTGAACTGTCGACAATGACGAGTCCACCAACAATACCTTTTTAAGGATTACAGAGTGGTGAGAGTGGAGCTCAGTTCTTATCAACCGGAAGACGACCTTTTGAGGTCTCTTAGAAGCCCCCTGGAAAGGTGAGTGGAGCTGAGGTAAAACTGTGACTGGGCTGAGGAGGCACTTCCCAATAGTGACCTGCTGGATGATAAAACCAATGAACAGTTTCCATATTTTGAGCACTTGCTATGTCCCCAGCACTTAAACACTCGGGTGCATAATCTCGTTTAACCTTTATCACATATCTGTAAAGGGTCATTGTCCCTGTGAGGAAACTAGCACAGAGAGAGATATCACCTGTCCAAGTAGTGTCCACAGCCAACAGCTGGCCAGGCATCTCTCAGCCATTCTGGCTTTGTAAGGAGAAAAAGAGAAAAGAGATACCAAAGAATCGCTGACCTGGTCCTCATCTCAAATCTCTGTCTGCCTAGTATTCACCAAAAGGCCCCACTTTATGAAGGAAACACATCGAGGGGGGAAAAACACCAACCTCACAGTTGTGTTGCTCCTTACAATTTTCAGAGCCTCCCTCATACGTTATTGCATTTGTGCTTCCTGCGCACTGTGCCAACTCTATGAATAACAGTTCCACATGGTCCAGAATGCATATTTTAAGCTATATTCACTTCTGTCTAATTTCATTACTGTGCGACGCCACAATGCAGACCTTTCTTTGGTATTCTGTCTGGGAGGAGAGATTTCCAGAGCAATAGCCGTTTTGGAGGTAACAAGGATGCTAGATTTGTTTAGGGGGAATTTCCCAACAAAATTGAGTCTTCTGTGTGTAAGTCCTAGTGATGGGTCATGTACATAAAGGAGACTCCCAAAAGGATGTGTGCTTTGTGATTGAAGTCAGTGACATAAATTTCCCAGTGGAATACTTA